TGTGTCCCATGATCCAATAAAGCCTACCGGATAAGACCTTCAAGTGTGGCGTTTGCAAGAATGCCAAAATGTCTCGTAATAAAACTGGTCTCGTTCTTGCACGCGAGACTTTGCCAAGGATTTGTCAGGCATCGAATCTACATCACGATACAAAGCTGGATGTCTGCCGACGGTAATTGTGTCTCTGTAACGGAGACCTTACTGTGTCGAGACGAAATTGGATTTATATTTAGTTGACGTCCATTGCAGTTTCTCTGGTGACAGGAATATATGACATCAGACATATTAATCCGCCGAGCTATTGTCTTGAGAAGGGTTTAATAACCAGCTCAAAGGATGGTTCAAGTACACCTGGCACTGATGGATCGACATTATGTCTCTGACGTTTGATTAGATGATAGCACTTCTTTGCGAAAAGGATGTTTTGGTAGCCAAGTGGTTAAACCGTTGGCGCGTCACGAGACCCGTATTCAATTCTCAACATTGGTACTGTGTTTGAAGCCCATATAGTGTGTCCAATGCCGGAATATTGCTGGAAAGTTGCTGAAAGACCGTAAAATCATACTCACTCACTCTTTGTCGAAAACATGTTCCGAAACCAATCTCTTTCATATAAATAATAACCGTCACCGCCAGAACAAAAACCAGTACAGACGATCCAATGAAACAGATTCTGTTTGTCTGAAAAGACAAAATAGCGATGAATTCTGTGAATGGATAACTGAAATCTGTGATGACGCCAGGTGTTCTCGATAATGTTCAGCATGTCCTGCCAGACGGGTAGGGTCCGCCACTGACACAATTTGCATAAACAAGTACCTCTTTGTTTCCTCCATGTGACGGCGGACTGTAAACAAACCAGGCAATCAAGTGATGGGCCAGCAAATCCGGTGTAACGGTCGCGCATCGGAAGTAATTAAAAATACCTTGTCGGACTAAATATTTCTTTCGTAAGATCCATACCATGACCGCAAGGTTTCCATCCACCCATCATTATTTGTTCCATTCAAAACATAAACAGACCCGTGTAGATCCGGGGTAGAATAGGTCTTCAGCAACCCATGCTTGGCGTAAAAGGCGACCATGCTAGGCGACTAACGGGATCGTGTGATAAGGCTCGCTGACTTGGTTGATGCATGTCATCGTATCCCAATTTGGTGGATCGATGCTCATGATGTCAATCACTGGATTGTCTGGTCCAGACTCGATTATTTACAGACCGCCGTCATATTGCTGAGTGCAGCGTTAAACAACAAACAAACAATACATAATAAGAGGTATAATGTCATATTTACATCCTGGAAATGAACAGCATCACGTTGGTTCAAAGGCTCCTCATATACTGAAACGCAAAAGAAACGTCACTTCATGAAAACAATGCATTTTTAGGCGAAATCTCGTTTTTGACATGCAAATAGTGATGGGTATAATGGGTCTCCAACACGCAACTTAACAAACGTCCATGGTACATGTACAAAATCCCGAACGCTTTCCATGGAAATCAAAATTCACTTGCGTTTCCTTGTGCCATTTTTGATAAAGAGCACCCTAATACGTGGATCCAACATTCTTGTGTCGACACTAGCGCCTTGCCAAAGACTAATGAAGCATCAGGGAAGCCAGGTTGCAGGACGACTGCTGGTCAGGCTGGACGAAAGGTTGCCAATGCTTTAATGTCCACGTGAGAACCATCTACAGATTACAGCAACGTTACTAGGTCACCAAAAACATGCAGTCTTATTAAAGCCTGGGTCAGGTGAGGTAAAATGGGGTTTAACGTCGCGTTCAACGTTATTGCTCTCATATAGTGAATGAGTGAGTATGGTTTTACGCTGCTTTTAGCAATATTCTAGCAATATCCCAAGTAAATCGAACCCGGGTCTTCAGCGTGACGAGCGACCGCTTTAACCACTAGGCTACCCGACGGCCCCTGCTCCTATATAGCGTCCATAAAAGTCCAGTTTTCATCCTTGCCGAACTAGGCTGTATTATGGAGTTAGATTTTGGCTGGACTAACGAGTCTATGCATAGTCCAATCAAAATCGCGAACCGAAATCGAAATCTGGTTCGTAAACTGTCATGCAGAGTTCGGTCGATTGCAGGATTTGCAATACATGGGCACCGCCAACTCGTTGTCAACAGATATTTTCCAAATCTTTGCAAGTTTTTAATCAAGATGCTCACGTGATTTGAAACACTTCGCGATGTATGACCCGTTTTATCACAATATAGATCCTGATTGTCGATCATATCGCCTTGTCTTGGCGCCGCCATTTTCTTTGAAACAAATGCAAGTGAAACGAGAGGTGGAATCTGATTGGTCCATAGGAGAGGCATAGAAGGGACATAACTCGTAACAGTCACTTGTGGTGCTACAATCGAGGCCAGGAATTCCAGCCTGGTTCGGCAAGGGTGAAAACTGGACTTTTAAAGTCAGTTTACTCTCTTGCCTCGGGAAGATGGTATACCACTGCCAGAGAATCAAACCACCGACCTTCAGGTCCCCGGGCAGACGCTCTATCCACAACCCCATAGAGGTGGTTGAAGTGGGAGGAACGTCCGAAGTCGTGCAGTTCACAGAAACCCATAAACATAATCAGGGCGAATCATTTGGGGTGATGGTGTGCGTCTCAAAACTTAGAGAATTAACTTTTTTCTCTAATATAAAACGATGACCAGTTTTGATTAAGGCATAATTACTTAAACGTAGTAACTGTGGTCGGGGGAAAGGAGAGAACGATTATTTCATTCTCACAACCGCACGTGTGCGTTTAACAATCCCCAATGTCTGAAGCGATATGACGTCACATTAATCTATTGAGGTGTATCATACAATTAGGAAACTGCGTCACAATCACATCAGTAAAATGCATGTGGAAGGTAAACGTCTAAGGCCTGCAGGAGTTCCTCCCACATCAACATTCACTTTTATTATGATTCTCGGTTTGTCCCAATAATATGAATATGTATCATAAATATGCATAGACAAATAATAATAACTTGAATACATAGTATACAATATTTGAAGGGTGTGTGTGTCATCAAATTAATTGACATTATTTACATTGAGCAGAAAGGAGCCAGAAAGGGATGCTTGGGTTGTAAGGATCAATTGTTAGTTCAGAAAATGATCCTTGAAGAGGCTAAAACTTACCACCGTAAGCTCTCAATGTGTTGAAAGACTACAGAAAAGTTTATGCGTCTGTACCTCACGAATGGATTTTGAAGTCATTTGAATGACTGTTTTGACCTTCCCGTGCGACTACTTGTTTTACTGGAGTCTTTAATGAATTGCTGGTCAACTCAACTTGAGATGTATTCGCAGTGGCAGGTGGTGACTTCGGAACTCATTTCTATCAGAAGAGGAATATTCCTTTAGTTCTTTGCATTTCTGTTTGTCACTAAATCCTTGACGGTTTTTGCTTAGCAAAGAGGGAGGTTATCATCCGGGACCTCCTCAGCACAGATCCCCTACACCTCTTACTCACCTCCTTTACCTAGATGACCTTGAACTTTTTGCAAAGGGACCATCTCGTGAAAGGTCAGGTCTGTGCGTAATTAGGGATGCAGATTAGGGACAAACTCCAGAATGCCCATATCAAGGAAAAACGTCGGGCAGACTACAAATGTAGACGTACGAAAATCTAGAATTCATGATCAGTGCTATAAAGGTAAATCCACAATTACTTATGCTGTACCCGTCCTTTCGTATTCTTTGGGTGTTGTTGATTGGACGAAGCAAGAAATTCATGGTACTGGCAAACTGACACGAAGAATCATGTCAGACAATAGATCTTACCAACCTTGCTCTTCCCTTAATTGCTAATATTTACCAATTATATAATAGAAGGCCGTGGTTTTATTAACGTGGATGTTCTTCATGAAGGAATTGTTTTGGGCACTTTTGCACACATTTATTTGTCTTATGATCCTCTTGTGAAGCATTTCAACAACCCATGATGAAAACAAGGCATTCCACAGTTTTCTCAAACGAGCCATGAATGTGGGATGTAACTTCAATGTCAATGTTGACTTTGTTGATGGTTCTGCACTGCTGAACGGTACAGCTATGAGTGTCAACCAAGCGAAGTGATATATCAAAACAGCCCAGACTCAGTTTTTTCAGGGAGAGGCAGTCCAGGACATTGTCAGTGGATGTCCAGCTTTGGCACAAACCCAGTATCTTAAGGGACATGATGGCGTAGCTCGATCCTTTTATTACCGTCTTCGCCATGCTCCTGGTTTTGACACAGAGGTCCATCGCATGGTACGACCCAGAATATGTAGAGGGCGTCATGGAAAATGATACATATCAAATTCTTTGGAATAGACCCGTGTTCAGCCTCAGACCTAGCCAGGCCAACAAACCTGATCTTTTTCGTTTTGATAAATCCAATGAAACATGGCAAATATGTGGACCTCGCTTTCGAAATGTCACGCTTGCATCTAAAGTACCGAGTTGTCTGACTCCCGATTGTTCTTGGTGCCTTAGGTTTTGTACCCCTCAAATCTGTTGACTGACATTGGGAAAGTACCCGGGTTTGCTCCCAGGAATACAGCCCTTCTGGCAATCTGGGTAATGCAGAAGGCTGCAGCACTGGGGAAACATAATCGGGGCGAACAGATAGGGAACATCTAGGACATGCATCACTTAGGGGTCTCCTACCACAGCTGAAATACTTTTCCAAAGAGGTATACAGCACAACTCACTCAATGTACAGACGTACAAATGTATGTCACCGTGATATCATTGTATTATCGACGTTCAACTTAAGTGGTTTCAATGTGATCTCAACAAAGAGGAGTTTAAGAGTGATGAGTGAGTGAGCATATTGTTTTACGACGTTTTCGCAATATTCCAGCGTAGGTGGATACCAGACATAGGCTTCACATTTGGTACCCATAAGGGGAATTGAACCCGGGCTTTCGGCGTGAAGAGCGAACACTTTAACTACAAGGCTACCTCACCACCTTACAAATGATGATAACTTCAGTTAATATGAGTATTTTATTGTAGAATATACACTCAACAAAGGCATTTTATTATTGTAGCGTCCATGTCATAATGGGAACATTACACTGGTATATTTTGGACGCAGTTCTACATCACGGAGCGAAGAATCAGCAACAGTCAGACGAGCTATCACACAACGTCGAAGCCTCGCTGTCACTTGACCACGCATGCGCAAGACTTTCTTCATCTTCTGAGACTTCGTACCTGAAATATGAACGAAATAAATATTTAACGAACACTTTAATGTATTATTCAAGTCACCTCGACAAAATAGAAGATCTTATCGTGCAATTCTATCATTTGGGCTTAATTATTTCTGGAACTTTACGTTCGGATTAATGATGAAAGCAACCTCTTGTCACCGACTCCCGTGTATTACTGGTGACCTTAACCCTTAGGAATGCATGTAGTCTATTGTATTCGAGGGGGGACTGGTACAACTCAAACATGAGACACACGTTACTTTTATTGCAACCAACATTCTGGTAATTCGGTTCAGTGGATATATGACATGATATATTATATTACCTATAAGGTAGACTGGTTGTGTGGAGTCAGTGACTAGAACAAGCATCCACAGAAAGGGAGACACACACATACACACGCTACCACAGTTATACATGGATTCCCCTCTCAGACACAGTGTACTGACTCCGAGCCGACCAGTCCTTGTTTTATTCCCTTTATAACAGGGCAACCAAAAAACACGACAAAAGTACGACTAAAAACAAGCAACCACTCACTCACACACACACACACACACACACACACACACACACACACACACACACACACACACACACATACACACTTTACCGCGGTTTTACATGGATTCCCCTCTCAGACACAGTGTACTGACTCCGGGCCGACCAGTCCTTGTTTTAGCCCCTTGAAGTCGACAAAAGTACGACTAAAAACAAGCAACCACTCACACACACACACACACACACACACACACACACACACACACACACACACACACACACACACACACACACACACACACACACACACACACACACACACACACACACGCACACACATGCCCACACACACACACACACACACACATGCACTCGCTATACAAGTGCAATAACCTTCAACGCGACCTCAAACCCCATTTCACCTCACCCTACAAGGTCACAGCGGTAGAATCAGCGTAATTGTATTTGGATTTGTGCTGACTATATTGACGAATGACAACAATGATATAATTGAAATTACATAGGATTTGTATTAATTACTGTTACACTCATAACCATAAGGAAATGTCCTTCATTTTGAAACGTGTAGAGTCTCAATTAATATTCAGTTAAACCCTTCTATGACCTTGCGCATCATAAATATAAAACGCATAGATACCTGAACAAAAGTGAGTTTATGACAGTTACATTGTACTTTAGCCACCGTGCATAAACATGTCAGTCAAACGACATTTGCGCCTCCAAGTTTGAAATCAATCATTTTTATTTGAACAGATTTTACACTCTCATATCTATGACTTCATTTCCAGAATATTTTAAACTTTTCACTAAAGTTGTAATACGCAGTAACCGATAATTCGGATGAAATCAGTCTAAAATTGCATTTTGAAAAGAATTCAAGTATCCTATAAATGTCGACGTGGCTGCATATTTATAGTTGAATGTTTTGCCACATTGGTATTTCCAGCCCACAAGAACGCTTCATAGCACGTCGACATATCCACGCTCCTACGCAGGTATTACCAATGACGTGCAGTGCACTCCTCCACAGGGCTTTGAAGTATCTAAATAATCCGGTCTGTAATAATATCCCAGAGCTTGACGGCAGAGGACATTAGAAGTATTCAATACCATCTATACTGGTCCGTAGCCATCATCGAAGTGCAAAGTATTCCTGTATATGATCGTATTCTTCAAAGTTATAGCCTACGGCCAATGTATTATCTATAAGCAAAGATTTTGTTTTTACATAAACTTGAAATGTGAATACTATAATATTATTAAAAAATCGTACTTGATTTCGTACACTATTCTTTCAGTTTGTAATAAAATATATTGATATTTGGAATCGAAGATGAAAAACTGCGTTGTTAGATAAATTTTGAATCCGTGTAATCGATAGCAACAAAAGTAAAGGGGTAATGGCTGCAAATAAACACGTTTGATGTGCCCGATGTCATGCATAAACTGTGTTGTGAAAAGCACTGAAATAGTACGGCTCCTAGCACGCACGCACGCACGCACGCACGCACGCACGCACGCATGCACAGATCCCACTAACATGGGGATCGGTCTGTGTTGAGACAAAACCGACTTGATTGCCTGTCACTGCACAAGGTTGACATTGCTCATGCTATCAATCACCGGTTCGGCTGTTCTAGACTCACCTGAGTGGTTCATATAGGATGAAATGTGAAACGAATTCTTTATGTTTGTTCTCGGAATTTTTGCTCTCAGTATGTAACGTCGTCAAGAAAAAAAATCCAATGAATTACTTATTCACCTCAGACTTTATTTCTACGTGCTCCTCATAAAACATCGATGGTATATATCCGTCAAAAAATCAATTACCTGAAAATCCGTATACCCTATGTTTTAAATGGGGCTTAAATGCATTAAATGAAACGTTATCCCCTTTATCAGGCAATTTCACGATGACCTTTTTCATCTTGAGCTCAATATAGAGCTATTATTGAATACATAACATAATTCAATTCAAGTGGACGACCATATCCTTTCCATTTTGAGTTTTATAAATCGACTGCGTATGCCATTAACGAAGGATAGATCCTACGATACAGTGTATAATGTCCTCTTCTGCTGAAAGGAATATGAGGAACGAAAGTTATTGATGACATTACTGTAACAAATGATCGCGTTCATACTTTCAAGAAGCCATCGATAGACAGAGTGATGTCTCCATGTCAACAAGGTTATGTACACTTGGAAATCATGCAGCACAATCTTTCGTACATCCATATTCTTGCAGGTCGTAAGAACTGAGCCATTTCTTGCGTTGTAAAGAAGCAGAAAGGGCAATTGAAAGGGGAAATTACAGAAGCAAAATGCCATGGAACAGTTACTGTAGTCACATAGCTATTGCCAGGGAACAGTTACCGTAGTCAAATAGCTATTGCCGTGGGACACTTACCGTAGTCAAATAGTAATTGCCAAAGGACAGTTACAGTAGTCAAATAGCTATTGGTATGGGACAGTTACATGGTCAAATAGCTATTGCCATGGGACAGTTACAGTAGTCACATAGCTATTGCCATGGGACAGTTACAGAAGTCAAATAGCTATTGGAATGGAGCAGTTACAGTAGTCAAACAGTTATTGCCAAAGGACGGTTACAGTAGTCAAATAGCTATTGACATGGGACAGTTAGAGTAGTCAAATAGCTATTGGCATTGAACAGTTAGAGTAGTCAAATAGCTATTGGTTTTGGGCAGTTACAATAGTCAAATAGCTATTGCCATGGGACAGTTATCGTAGTCAAATAGCTATTGGCATGGAACAGTTTGAGTAGTCAAATAGTTATTGCCAAAGGACATTTACAGTAGTCATATAGCTTATGGCATGGGACAGTTACAATAGTCAAATAGCTATTGCCATGGGACAGTTACAGTAGTCACATAGCTATTGCCATGGGACAGTTACAGAAGTCAAATAGCTATTGGAATGGAGCAGTTACAGTAGTCACATAGCTATTGCCAGGGAACAGTTACCGTAGTCAAATAGCTATTGCCATGGGACGGTTACCGTAGTCAAATAGCTATTGACATGGAACAGTTTGAGTAGTCAAATAGTTATTGCCAAAGGACATTTACAGTAGTCAAATAGCTATTGCCATGGGACAGTTACAGTAGTCACATAGCTATTGCCATGGGACAGTTACAGAAGTCAAATAGCTATTGACATGGGACAGTTAGAGTAGTCAAATAGCTATTGGCATTGAACAGTTAGAGTAGTCAAATAGCTATTGGTTTTGGGCAGTTACAATAGTCAAATAGCTATTGCCATGGGACAGTTACCGTAGTCAAATAGCTATTGGCATGGAACAGTTTGAGTAGTCAAATAGTTATTGCCAAAGGACATTTACAGTAGTCATATAGCTTATGGCATGGGACAGTTACAATAGTCAAATAGCTATTGCCATGGGACAGTTACAGTAGTCACATAGCTATTGCCATGGGACAGTTACAGAAGTCAAATAGCTATTGGAATGGAGCAGTTACAGTAGTCACATAGCTATTGCCAGGGAACAGTTACCGTAGTCAAATAGCTATTGCCATGGGACAGTTACCGTAGTCAAATAGCTATTGACATGGAACAGTTTGAGTAGTCAAATAGTTATTGCCAAAGGACATTTACAGTAGTCAAATAGCTATTGCCATGGGACAGTTACAGTAGTCACATAGCTATTGCCATGGGACAGTTACAGAAGTCAAATAGCTATTGGAATGGAGCAGTTACAGTAGTCAAACAGTTATTGCCAAAGGACGGTTACAGTAGTCAAATAGCAATTGACATGGGACAGTTAGAGTAGTCAAATAGCTATTGCCATGGGACAGTTACCGTAGTCAAATAGCTATTGGCATGGAGCAGTTTGAGTAGTCAAATAGTTATTGCCAAAGGACATTTACAGTAGTCATATAGCTTATGGCATGGGACAGTTACAATAGTCAAATAGCTATTGCCATGGGACAGTTACAGTAGTCACATAGCTATTGCCATGGGACAGTTACAGAAGTCAAATAACTATTGGAATGGAGCAGTTACAGTAGTCACATAGCTATTGCCAGGGAACAGTTACCGTAGTCAAATAGCTATTGCCATGGGACAGTTACCGTAGTCAAATAGCTATTGACATGGAACAGTTTGAGTAGTCAAATAGTTATTGCCAAAGTACATTTACAGTAGTCAAATAGCTATTGGCATGTGACAGTTACAATAGTCAAATAGCTATTGCCATGGGACAGTTACAGTAGTCAAATATAATTTGGCATGGGACAGTTACAGGAGTCACATAGCTATTGCCATGGGACAGTTACCGTAGTCAAATAGTTATTGCCATGGGACAGTTACAGAAGTCAAATAGCTTTTGGAATGGAGCAGTTACAATAGTCAAATAGCTATTGGCATGGAACAGTTACAGTAGTCAAACAATTATTGCCAAAGGACAGTTACAGTAGTCAAATAGCTATTGACACGGGACAG